AGAGCCGCCTGGCAGGCAGCTCCCAGCAGCGGGGACGGGCGGCAGCACGCGGCAGGAACAATGGCGGCGGCAGGCTGCGGGTGTAGACGACCGCCTCGAACACACGAGGAGAGAGCGAGCGAGAGCGAGAGAGCGAGAGAGAGAGAGGGGCGTGCCGCGCTGCCTCTCTCATGGGGTTCTTCGGCGCCAGTTTTACATTTCCGGGCTTTTCAGCCAATCAGACGGGACCTAGTCCTGCCCCTGTTTCCGGCCAAGGCTCCTCCCCTGCAGCAGCTGCTCCCCCCCCCATACACACAGAGGGGGTTCAGCGCCGTGTGGAGACACCGTGTTAAGTCAGTTTTGTCGGCTGACTTAAAGGACATTTCATGTTCGTGTAAGGAAATACCTGGTCCTTCACACCAGGAGTGGATTTCCAGCAGCAGTTCCATGATGTAGCCATTTAGCCTTTGCAGTGGTAATGCTGTTTCCCTACTTTAAAGTAGTCTGCTGCCCTTAACACCTTTCCAAAATCAAAATGTTGTAAATTGAGACTGTTGCACCTTCTTTTCTGCTGCACTGATCTGCTTGTTTATGCACCTAGAAAAAAGTTGTGTTTGGTGGAGGCTGTGAAGCTCAAAATCTCTGGATTTGGAAAGGTGTAGATACAGGGGCTATGTCCGTGATACGGAATCCTGAAAGCTTATGGGTCTCCTTTTGAGGTCTCTTAGGTGGTTTTCAGGTGAGCCAGCTGGTATATTGGAAAGAAACAGACTGCCAGTCATTTTGAGACTATTGGAAGCTTTTTTTTTTAATCTTATATGGAATTATATACTTCTTAAAAAGACTTTTTTTTTCCAGTGGAATTTGGTTGAATGAATCTAATAACTGAAGTTATTCAGTGATTTCCCTATTGTGACTCTAATCCCTAGTACTGTTATACCCTGTATAGCCCATGATTCTTGCTGTTGGAAACTCCCTGATCATCCCAATATATTACGCTTCTGCTAAGCACTCTTTTCAGTCTCAATTCTCTTCCTCTTGGCTGATGAAAGCCTTCACTAGCCACCTGTCTCAGTCCTGTGGTTCACTGCAACTCTGCTGCTGGAAGATCTCTCAAGATCTCTTTAGCAGCTTTGCCTTCAGAAGTGTTGCCAGTGAACCCTTCATTCACTCTGCTTCTGACTCCATTCCTCCCGAAAGCAACTTGCCACCACAGATCCCGGCTTTCAGTATAATATTAAAGTTATGGTCTGTCAGGAACAGCAAGTAGCTGGAAGAAAGAAATAGTTGAGGGCTGGGAGCTAAATTAGAAGGAGTTAGTATATCTACAGTCAGACAGGGGAGCTGTGGGATAATTACACCTCTTGTAGGACTGGAGGAAGAGAGGATCAGAAGTTGCCAAAGTTCAGCTGGAAACAGGAAGCACAGTGCAATTTGCTTCGGTTCACTAGCCTTGACAGAGAACTCATCCAGTGTGTAACCAAATGATTGTCTGAATGAGCTGCAGCTGCTTGCTCACTGTGATGCATTTTTAAGAAATCAGGATGCTGTAGCTTCCAACTGTAGAATAGCAATAAAAATATGAGAATGTGTGCATTACATTTGTGTCTGTGGTAACAGAAACTTGAACCATGAGTATAATTTCTGGGTAGTTTCAGAACCTCAGCATCATTTGTCCCCTGTTTTGTAGCAAGAAGTCCTCTGTCCCCTGTGCAAGAAGCCTGGTACCAGGATATTCCAGTGTGAAAGCTGTATAATGCAGTGAAATCTGGTTTGGTTATTTCTCTAGCTTGACTTAGTTTCCAATTCTGTCAATGTAGATCCTGAGTCTGTTTCAGCCTGAGCTCCTGGGATCCTGTCACCATGGAGACTGAAAGTGAGCAGAACTCTAGCTCCACTAGTGGGAGCTCCAGTTCTGGAGGAAGCACCCGTTCTCAGATACCACAGATGTCTCTCTATGAGCGGCAGGCAGTACAGGTGAGATGTGTTTATGATCTGTCATGGGATATGCATCAGTGGAAGGCAGTGGTGAGCGCTTTCATGTTCTGTGCTGTCATGTGTCAAGGTGGGAGCATGCTCAAAGGACTGTAATGTGTTCAGATTTAGAAATTCTTGTGCTAAGCCTGATCAAAGAATCACAGAATTACCTTGGCTGGAAAACACCTTCAAGATCATTGAGTCCAACCATCAACCTAACACTGACAAGTCCTTAACTAAACCATATCCCTAAGCACTATGTCTGTATGACTCTTAAATACCTCCAGGGATGGTGTTTCCACTGCTGCCCTGGGCAGCCTGTTCCAATGCTTGATAACCCCTTAAAGTGAAGAACTTTTTCCTAACATAGAATCTAAATGTCACCTGATGCAACATGAGGCTGTTACCTATTGTCTGATCACTTGTAACTTGTAACTAATCCCCACCTCTTTACAACCTCCTTTCAGGTAGCTGTAGAGAGTTAGGAGGTCTCTTCTCAGCCTTTCTTTCTCTAGACTAAACAACCCCAGCTCCCTCAGTTACTCCTCATAAAACATATGCTCCAAACCCTTCATCAGCTTCGTTGCCCTTCTTTGGACATGCTCCAGCACATCAATGTCCTTTCTGTAGTGAGGAGCCCAAAACTGAACACAGTGCTTGAGGTGCAGCCTTTAGTTCCTGTAGCCGGATACAGTGCTTCATGTTTTATAGGTTACTCCTCAAGTGTCCAGCCTCTTAGATTTAATCCATACTGTGATCCAATAGATTGCTGTTCTAGAGCAAGTAATTCAGTTTATCATCCCAATTTCTCTATATAGTATATCTCTTCCATATACCTGCCACGCTGGAGCACTTGTCTGCGTGTGTGAGCATGCACATCCCTGAATTCCTGGAGTTTATTAAAATCTTGCAAGTGTGCTTCCCATTGTCCTAGAATACACCTGTAAATCAATCTGTTACCAAATTTGAAGCTGTACTACATATTTTGATGTGCTAATCTAGTGGCTTTGCTTTTTTCTGAGGGAGGTGTCATGGCTGTTACTTATTTCTTCTTTTTTCTCCAGTCACACCTCAAGGGCATGCTATTTTTGACAACTGGGTTTTCCTTTTTCCTTAGGCCCTGCAGGCACTCCAGAGACAGCCCAATGCAGCCCAGTACTTTCATCAGTTTATGCTCCAGCAGCAGCTTAGCAGTGCCCAGCTTCACAGCCTGGCTGCTGTCCAGCAGGTGAGTTGCCAAGGGGCAGAAGGAGAAGAACTGGATCATTCTCTGGGGAAGATCCAGAGATTCTCTCTATATACAGTGACTTGTGCACAGAGGTCATCCTGATTCATCAGCAGACAATGAGTCCCTAAATGCAATACAAACAGCTAGTAAACCAGAAGCCTGATGCAAAGTTTCATTTGGTTTTCAGGTCCAGATCAGGGGAAGATAAAATTTGGCATACCCATCAGGAAACTTGCACTTCAGGGGCCTATGACTAGCTTCTGCACCTTTTTTAAATAAAAGATGTGTGGTTAAATTAGCAGTGGGTGCAGTAGGGTTTAAAAACTATATTAAAGTAGACCATCTCTGAGAATAAACATGGTCTTGTGTGTGCAAAATTTCAGGTGGTATCCTCTGAATTTTCTGTCTTGAAAATTAGAAGGTTTTGGTTTTGTTACAAGTTACTAGCAAGAGGGATCTGGAGTAGATATAGTTTATACTAATTGAGGTATTTTATGATGCATAATTGCAGAGTGATTTTTCTTCTTTTAGCAACTTGGCTCACCTACCAGAATTTACCATCAGCTGAAGGTAGATTATGTGTGATGTGGATACAGTTCTGTCTGTGTAACAGTATCTTCATCATTAGCTGTCCTCCTTGGCTATTAGTCCAGGATTTAATTGTTCTCAAAATCCCTATCTGCAGTTTTACAGCATAGAGGGATTATAATTCTCTCACCAGTTTAATACAAATCTTCATTACAAAACTAACTAAATTCATACAGCAGATTTCCCATGGGATCATAGAGGAGGAGAAAAAAATATAATAGTATTTACATTCCTCTATGCACTGTATCTGCTATACTCTGAAATTGGTTACTTGGAGTGCTATAATTGCATTGTTACTAAACTGCCTAGTGGTAGATTTGTGATGGTTAGATTGTGCCCCTGTTCTCAGAAATGGAAGATGATGGTGACGGGATTTGGTGTTGTGACAAAGCCAAATATTTTGGCTGGACTGAAAAATTTGTTCCAGGTGTTCACTTCTCTGTCAATCTGCCTTGTAGGCTACAATTGCAGCCAGTAGACATGCCAGCTCCCCCAACACCAGCACCCCACAACAAACCACCACCACCCAGGCCTCTGTAAGTAACTGGTCCCTCACACACATACCAAAGTCTCTCCCCCCTCACGTTGTTATTCCTACTCTTTGTCTTTTAGGAAGGGAGTCAGCTAAGAAAACACAGCTTCTAAGAATACTGGGAATCCACAAGATGCAGACAACTTTGAGGATTTGGGGTGCTATCAATACTGGGGGGGCATTGAGACCAGAGAAGGTTTATGAGTGGGAGGGGCCTCTTAGCTGGAAAGGTAGACACTTGTTTCTCTTTGGCTGTGGCGTTATATTGTAATGGATTAGAAAAGGATCAGGACTTCTAAGAAGGAGGAATAATGAGCAACTTGAAAAAGTATGTCCTTTTTTTCTTGGACAGAGTAGTAGTTTGTTGAATAAGAGGACATCTGGTTTTGTACTGAGTATTGAGGAACTGGGATTTGTTCAGAGAGTAGATGAGTTGGTATAGTAGAGATTACTTTGTGGGTTTTTTACCTCTATTTTAGAGGCTGGAGAAAATTATGCATTTCTTTTACTGCAGCTGCATGCTAACAGCAATACTCAGGCTTAGCATACAAATGAGATTAGCACTCAGGGCTTTGGCTAGTTTAGATTGTGTAGCCTCTAAGATGAGAATGTTTTTCTTGGTCTCCTGTGGGATATGAGTAAAAAACTGTAAGATGTCTGTTCTGATTTTGTCCCAGTAAGTAAATCTGTGCTTACTTCTTTGCCTCCATTTCCTCATATATGATTTGGGGCTTTTCTATGTTGGAAGATCAATCTAGCCACCACATCAGCAGCTCAGCTGATCAGTCGGTCACAGAGCGTGAGTTCTCCCAGTGCTACAACCCTGACTCAGCCTGTGCTCCTTGGAAATACCACCTCACCACCTGTCAATCAGTCACAGACCCAGATGTATCTCCGGGTAAGAGATGTAGACACAAAATATGTCCTGACCATGAACCCCACATCCTAGCCACTTCAGTGTTCCACCGTTTTGGATTACCAACACCTTTGGACTAACTCTAGCTTTAAGGATTATGCACTGTATTTTACATTCAGATGGGGATGCCCATGTCCCTGAAACCACAAGTTTGACTCTGGGCTCAGCTTTTGAGACTAGATGAACTTTGTATTTTTGTGGCTCGGGTGTCATCATTGAGAACCGTGTTTGTGTCTGCTCTGCATAGATGTTAAAGATCCCATGGCACTTCTTACTAGAGCATAAATGTGAATTGTATGTCCTAAATTGGAATATAGCTCACAGAAATAAAGCTATTATTCTTGTTCAAAGCTGGAACAGATACGTGGTAAATTACTGTCTTCTACCACTGCTGAGCTCAGGGATCTAAGTCAGAATTCAAGTAAGTCTAGAAACATATATCAACATGAACAAACACGTAATCCTTTTAATTGCTTTGAAGTGCTGCTAAATAGGAAACATTAGGCTTGACTATATAGTCAGTCTGGGGTTTTGATTACCTACTTAAAAATACTGTCTGTCTCTCAGTTGACTTCAGATACAGATAGTGATCTTTCAAGCAGCCATGGTCTTGGATGTATGTCTTTTATCACTGTTTCTCAACCAGCCCCAGATATACATCTGAAAATTCAGTGATACCCCAGACTTTCAGCCAGCCTTTGGCAGACTATGGGAGTTGGCCCTGGCCCAAGATTGAAAGAAGAGAGTTTGTTTCCTGTTCCTGAGGATTATGTTCAGTGCAGGGAGGGTTGGGGGTTTTGCAAGGTGAGGCATTGCAGCCCAGTGTTGCTTTGTAATCGCTTGTGGTTCGCTGTCTTTCTTTCTCTCTTCCTCTCCGTTTCTTTCATTCCACATCACCTGAACTTGCCTCAACAGCCACAGCTGGGGAACCTGTTGCAGGTAAACCGGACCTTGGGCCGCAATGTGCCTCTTGCCTCCCAACTCATCCTGATGCCCAACGGGGCTGTGGCCGCTGTCCAGCAGGAGGTGCCACCCACTCAGTCTCCTGGGGTCCATGCAGACACAGACCAGGTCAGTGACACCCCCTCCCAGAGTCTTCCTGTTCCCCTGCTCTCTGTCACCCTGCAGTCTGGTCTTTGTCTCCACCCATCCCTGTATAGCAGCTTAGCTGAGTTTTATTCCCAACCTGTGTCCCTGTGCAGGCAGAAGATTCTATTCTCTCTTGCCACTGTTTTTACATGTTTGCTTTTTGCCTTCAGAGATGGGATTAATTTCTGCTTAAAAAAAATTTCTGGGGTGAGCCATAGGCTCAATCAGTCCATTTTCACAGTTTCTTAGCTGTCTTTGTGCAAAAAGAATTGTTGAGTTTTATGTCTAGTTTTCAGTCACTCTGCAAGGAAGAGTCTTTGCCAGTGGTAAAGGCTCCTACATTGATTGTAACTAACTCTTCAAGTCAAGGAGCTGCCATGGCTTCCCATTTTTCTTGTTCTATCCCACTCATTCTTGGGATTTCCAGTTACTTCATACTTTTCTTGTCTTGAGCACTTTCTTTGAAGGAAAGTCATTAATGATCAAACTTGAAGATAACACTGCATTTGGAGGAGAAGGAGTAAATGCAGAGGGTGGCAGAACCAAAATGCAGAGGAACTGGTGAAGTTGGAAGGGCTGCAGGCCATGAGTAGATCTGTGGCCTGCTCTGTGGAAAGCCCTGCGCAGGGGGAGGAGGCAGGTGGCACAAAAATGGAGAAGGAGTGACTGGTCTTCTAAGAGGTATCTCAGCTCTTTTAGAGACATGCTAAACTGGGTCCTACCAATGCAAAAGCACAGCAGGCAGGTCTGAAAGTTATCCCATGCCTCAGAGAATGTCAGTGTCCTTATGTGCTGTTCTGAAAGTGCCACGAGATCTTTAACTTCCATCAGAGATGGGGCAGGAGGCGGTTCAGGATAATGTGTTTCCTGGGGAGGGCCACACCTGAGCTTTGCCCTGCACCATTAGCCAGCTACCTACGTGAAACCTGAAGCATCAGTTTAGCCTGCAACCTAATAGAGCGTGTTGTTTGTGCCTTCTCTGCTAAACTTGCAGCAAGTAGCCTATGTAAAGCAAACAGATTCTGGTTTGTCTGTGTGTTTCTAGGTGCAGAATTTAGCTGTGAGGAGCCAGCAGACCTCGGCCACCAACACCCAGCTCCAAGGCCCTGCTCAGAAGGCAGCTCTGCCGGGCATCTCCCAGCCCTCAGGGTTACCACAGGTCACCAGCACAGGCCAGACCTTGGCGGTGGCTCAGGCCTCTGGCAGCACAGGCCAGTCCCTCAACTTGAGCCAGGGGGCAGCAAGCAGCAGTGTTCCTGGGGGTGTGGTGACAAGTGGTGGAAGCCAGACCTCCTCTGCAGGCTCTGCTGGCAGCTGCCAAAGGAAAGGCACAGGAGTTGTTCAGCCATTACCCATAGCAGCTGCCCAGGCTGTGACTGTCAGCCAGGGAAGCCAGACAGAGACAGATAATGCAGGCACAAAGAAGGGCGAAACAGACAGTGGTGGACAGCAAATGGTGGGCATGAACCTGACCAGGACAGCCACACCAGCACCCAGCCAGACACTGATCAGCTCAGGTAAGTACAAACCTATTCCTTGTATATGAGCCCACTGGGCTTTTCACAAGAGAGCCATTTGAAAGCCCAGTGATGAGAGGTTTCCCAACATGCCTCTCAAACTCTAGGCTCCTGGAGGCTTGTTTCTAGGGTTTATCCCTATTTATTAGCAAGATACGTTGATTTAGTCCCTCATGTCCTCTGCCAGTAGTTTGTCAGACATTTTGGAACTTAATGACTCTGACCTGCGCCGTGACTGCCTGCCTTTTGTTGTTGTTCCCAGCTGCAGTGTTGCTAACTCTCTTTTCCCACTCTGTGTTTGTACAGCAACATATACGCAGATCCAGCCCCACTCGCTGATCCAGCAGCAGCAGCAGATCCACCTGCAGAAGCAGGTGGTAATCCAGCAGCAGATTGCCATTCATCACCAGCAGCAGTTCCAGCACCGTCAGTCCCAGCTCCTTCACACAGCCACCCATCTTCAGTTGGCCCAACAGCAGCAACAGCATCAATCACCCTCTCTGACCCAACAGCAGCAGCAAGCTCAGCCTCCACAGCAGCAGGCTCCACCTCAAAGCCAGCAGCAGGCTCAGACCCTTGTGGTGCAACCTATGTTGCAGTCCCAGCCACAGCCTGTGCAGCTCCAGCAGGACAATTCTTGCCAGCCAACCACCAAGTCACCTGTTCCAGTTCAGTCAAAATCTCTGGTCACCCCCATCAAACCACCTCAGCTTGGGCCTACTAAAATGTCAGCAACCCAGCAGCCTCCACCACACATCCCAGTGCAGGTGGTTGGTACTCGGCAGCAGGGCTCAGGCCAAGCCCAGGCACTGGGTTTGGCTCAGATTGCTGCAGCAGTGCCGACATCCCGGGGAATGCCAGCTGTGGTCCAGCCTGTTTCCCAAGCCCATGCTGCTTCCCCGTCCTCATCTGCAGCTCCAGCATCCTCACAGGAAGTTCCTCCTCTCACCACGGGGGTGAATTTGGCACAAGTTCAAGGCACAGCCCACATGGTGAAGAGCCCAGCCTCCTCTCCAGCTGTGGCTCAGATGCCAGCAGCATTCTACATGCAGTCTGTCCAGTTGCCAGTAAGTGATACTATTGAGAAGAATAGCATATGGATTCTCTTTGTTCATTCCTAGGACACCAGGCGCAGTCCAGGCGTAGGTCAGTGGGATGGGATGGTTAAGGGGTTTGGGTAAAGGGATGTGGAGACTTTTTCCTCTCAAAAAATCTAATTCAAATACAACCCTTGTAGTTACTGACTACAAGCATTTCCCTCCCATGTTATCGTTCAAGGCTTGCATGAAGTAAATAGATGAGACTCAGAACCTGCCCCAAATGGGATAGGTATCTATATCACATACTAAATATATTCAACAATGGGGTGAGTTGACCTTGGCTGGCTGCTGGATGACCACCAAGCTGGTCTATCACTCCCCCTTCACAACAGGAGAGGAGGAGAAAAATACAACAAAAAGCTCATGGGTTGAGATAAGGACAGGGACATCACTCACCAATTACTGTCACAGGCAAAACTCAATTTAGGAAAATTATTTAATATATTGCCAATTAATCAGAGTAGGATAATGAGAAATAAGAACACATCTATGCATCTCCATACTTTCTTCAGAGGCTCGACTTCCCTCCTGACTCTTCCACCTTCTCCCTTCAAGTGGTGCAGGAGGATGGGGAATGGGGGTTGTGGTCAGTTCATACATAATGTTTTGTCTCTGATGCTCCTTCCTCCTCTTGCTTTTCCCTTGCTGCAGCATGGGGTCCATCCCATGGGAGACAGTTCTCCACGAACTTCTCCAAGGTGGATCCTTCCCACAGACTACAATTTTTAATGAACTAATCCAGCATGGATCCTTTCCATGGGGTGCAATCCTTCAGGAACAGACTGCTCCAGTGTGGGTCCCTCACAGGGTCAAAAGTCCTGCCAGCAAACCTGCTCCACTGCAAGCTTCCCATGAAGTCACAACCTCCTTTGGGCATCTACCTGCTCTGGTGTGGGGTCCTCCACGGGCTGCAGGTGGATATCTGCTCCACTGTGGACCTCCATGGGCTGCAAGGGCCTGCCTCACCATAGTCTTCACCACAGGCTCCTGGGGAATCTCTGCTCTGGCATCTGAAGCACCTCCTCCCCTCCTTCACTGACCTTGCTGTATGCAGGACTGTTTCTCTCACATATTCTCACTCCTCCCTCTGGCTGCAGTCACACAGTATTTTTTACCATTTCTTAAATATGCTGTCACAGAGGCACTACCAGTGTTGTGTGTGGGCTTGGCCTTTGCCAGTGGTGGGTCTGTCCGGGAACCAGCTGGAACTGGCTCTTGGACATGAGGGAAGCTTCTTGTGTCCTCTTACAGAATTCACCTCTGCAGCCACACTGCTATCAAAACCTTGCTGTGCAAGCCCAATACAAACAGTAATTGGTCTCTTTATTGTCTCTCTCAGGAGACAGATGACAGCTGTGTAGGCCATGAAGACTCCCCTTTCCTCACTAGGTGTGGATACTTCTGAGTCAGAGACCTCTTGGTGTGTGGTACCAGCCACTGACTCCAGGCCTCAGAGGATCCCCTGGCAACAGTCTATGCAGAGGAAAATGGATGGCTCATGTTCCAGAGGCCTTGTCCATGCTACTGTGAATTGTCCAGCTAGGGCCTGCCTAACTCCCTGGGACAACAGCACTTTGCCAGTTAAGAAATACTTAGCCAGTTGCTGAGGCTGTTGCTGAGCTCTGACTGCTTCTTCAGGATGGTGTCACAGGATTTCTCTGGTTTTTAGAATGGGTAAAATTCTGCTCTCTTCCAACATGTGTCCCTTACTCTTTTTACTCTTCTTCATTGAAACTGATCTGATTTAGCCAAAGGGCTATTTAAAAAACTGCTGGGTGACTGCTGTTTCATTTTTTACTTGGTGTCTTGGTATTATATAAATGTATCAACATGAAATGGGACAGCAGATCCTAATCATAGTGGTATCATTAGAATCGTAGAATCATTCTGGTTGGAAGGGACCTTGAAGATCAAGTCCAACCATAACCTCAATCCCCCTACTGTAACCTAATGTACCTGTTCATTGCTTAAATCATTTTACTAAGCACTATATCTACATTTCTTCTAAATACTTCCAGGAATGGTGACTCTACTGCCTCCCTGGGCAGCCTGTTCCACTGTCCAACAACTCTTTCAGTAAAGAAATTATTTCTAATATCCAGCCTGAACCTCCCCTGGTGCAGCTTCAGGCCATTTCCTCTCATCCTGTAATTATTCACTTGAGAGAAGAGCCAAACTCCCGCCTCCCTACAACCTCCTTTCAGGTAGTTGTAGAGAGCAATGAGGTATCCCCTCAGCCTCCTCTTCTTCAAACTAAACAATCCCAGTTCCCTCAGTCTCTCCTCACAGGACTTGATCTCCAGACCTTTCACCAGCTTGGTAGCTCTCCTCTGGACATGCTTCAACAACTTGACATCCTTCTTGCAGGGAGCGGCCCAGAACTGCACACAGTACTTGAGGTGCAGCCTCACCAGTGCTGAGTACAGGGACACAATCACTTCCCTACTCCTGCTGGCCACACCAATCCTGATGCCACCTGGGCACACTGCTGGCTCATGTCAAGTCGGCTGTCAACCAGCATCCCCAGGTCCTTCTCCACCATGGAGCTTTCCAACCACTCATCCCTAAGCCTGTAGCTTTGCAAGTATAGTTGTGTAGTTTGTATAGTTGTGCGTCTTCTGAAGCTTTGCTCTCTGCTATGCAAATGCTCCTAAGAAGAGGTATGTACCGTGAGGGAGGCTGAGGCATCTCTGGAAGAAGGAGTCATAGAATCATAGGATGGTAGGTGTTGGAAGGGACCTCTAGACATCATAGAGTCCAACCCTCCTGCCAGAGCAGAATCACCTAGGGCAGATCACACAGAAACTCATCCAGATGGGTATTGAAAGTCTCCAGAGAAAGAGACTTCACAGCCTCTTGGCAGCCTGTTCCAGTGCTCTGTAACCATCACAGTAAAGTTTTTCCTCATGTTGAGGTGGAACTTCCTGTGCTCTAGCTTGCATCCCTTGCCCCTCATCCTATCACAGGGCATGACTGAAAAGAGATTGGTCCCTCCTTGACATCCACCCTTCAGATATTTATATACATTAATAAGATCCCCTCTCAGTCTTCTCTAGTCTAAACAGCCCCAGATCTCTCAGCCCTTCCTTATAAGACAGGTGTTCCTGTCCCTTAATCATCCTTGTAGCCCACTGTTGGACACTCAAGTAAATCCCAGTCCTGCTTGAATTGGGGAGCCCAGAACCAGATACAATACTCCAGATGTGGTCTCACTAGGGCAGGGTAGAGGAGGAGGAGAACCTCCCTCGATCTGCTGGATACACTTTTAATGCACTCCAGGATACCATTGGCCTTGGCCACAAGGGCACGTTGCTCCCACATGGATAACTTGTTGTCCACCAGGACTCCAAGGACCTTCTCTATGGAGCTGCTTTCTAGCAGGTCAACCCCTAATCTGTACTGGTGCGTGTTGTTATTCCTGCCCAGGTGCAGGAGTCGACACTTAACTTCTGTTGAACCACATTAGGGTCATCTTTGCCCAGCTCTCCAGTCTGTCCAAATCTCGCTGAATGGCTGCACAGCGTTCTGGTGAATCAGCCAATCCTCCCAGTTCCATATCCTCAGCAAACTTGCTGAGGATACACTGTCCCCTCATCCAGGTCATTGATGAAGATGCTGAACAGGACTGGACCCAGTACTGACCTCTGAGGAACACCACTAGTTGAATGTCTCCAACCAGGCTGGAAATTCAGTGCAGGAGAGAAGGGTGCATCTTCTGTTTGCCTTCAGTCTGTCTTGTTCTTGGCTTTGGAGCTCCTCTCTCTGCTTACAGGTTTCTCTTTATTTACACAGGGCAAGTCCCAGACCTTACCAGTAAAGCGCAAGGCAGAGTCAGAGGAGGAGAAGGAGGAGTCATCCAGTGTCACTGCCCTCTTGCCTGCCAGGTCCTCTCCTGTGAGAGACAGCCCAAAAAGGATGGAGGAGAAGAGTGGCCTTGGAGGTGAGGTACAAAGGAGAACTCTGCTTGTGTATGCTAATGATCTCATCTTGTATTCAATTTGAAATAGAGTAAGCAAAGGTAACTGACTTGCAGTGTTAACTTTCCAGAGAAATCAGATCCTGCTGCCACTGCAACCCCAAACACCACCTCAAGTGAAGGAGCATCAGTCACCCCCACCTCCGCTTTCACCCCAAACCTGGCAATGGTGTCACGACAGATGGGAGACTCCAAACCCCCACAAGCCATTGTGAAGCCCCAGATCCTCACACACATCATTGAAGGCTTTGTCATTCAGGAAGGAGCAGAGCCTTTTCCGGTAGGGATTGTCTGCTGTGGGGGAAGGAGCTATAATGCTCTCTCAGGAGGATAGTGGGCTTCCATCTTTGAACAGGAGTTTCTTTCCTTGTATTACAATTCAGTATTTATAGCCTGAGAGACAGACAGGAAAGAGGGAGCATCACATTAAAGAGGGTGGGTTATAAGGAGTAAAACCAGTGTGACTGGAACTGTTTTCTCTAATAGTCCCCAAAACAATAATTATAAGAAGGTTCTTCTCTCTGTTTTTAGTGAGGGGAAAAAAGCAGGAAGTTAAAACAAATAAGGGGAAATGTAGTTACATGGAATTGCAGGATATTCAAGGCAGGTAGGACTTGGTAATCTTTGAATGAACCAACAAACCTGTGAGTCAGGAAGGAGGAATAACTTTTTTCAGCTTCTCTAGTAGGCAGAAGGGTTCTTCTCAGCTGTAATAAGATGTGAGTAGCATATACTTTGCAGAGGGTGGTGGACACAGAATCCTTTTCTGATGAGCCAAACGTTCTCTTTCTGTCCAGGTGGGTTGCTCTCAGCTGCTGAAAGAGTCTGAGAAACCACTGCAGGGGAAGGCTCCTACTGGCCAGAGTGAAAACCTGTCCAGCAATTCTCCAGGAGAGGACAGTGCTTCTATTGGTGAGTTTCAGCACTAGGAGGCTGAGCTAGTGTTACTTACAGTTTCTGCTCTCTGATGTTGTACTACTGACTTTATAAATTATGGACTTGCCTTCCTGCTAACTCCATAAATCCTCAAGTTATGGACCTAGGATCTCCTTTTCTTGGGTGCCAGAAGACAGTACTTTTTTGTTGTCGATTTGATCTAACACACACTGTGTCAGTAGGAAGCAGAATTTGAACTGCATTTGCGCCTAATGGCTGTGAAGGATGTGTGAACACAGCAGAGAGTGCAGTGATGCAGATTGCCCTCACAGCCTTTTAGGAAATGAAGGATATGCTGTTTTTCCCTTGTTCAGTGAAACAGTACTGACAAGGAGAAATAAACTGCTCTGTTAAATATTTTGGGGTCCTAATTAGTGGAGCTTCTGACACTCTTTCCCCAGCTTCTTCCCCAGCCTAACTACTTAGTAGATTCAGTCAAGAATAGTGCTTGGAATCTGATCAGAAAAATAGTGGAATGGAGAATCATTGTGGGTGATCTGGTTCAGATCAACTGGTGTTTATCTCTGTATCTCACTAGATATTGATAAGAAGGCAAACTTGCTGAAGTGTGAATACTGTGGGAAGTATGCCCCAGCAACTCAGTTCCGTGGCTCGAAGAGGTTTTGTTCCATGACCTGTGCTAAAAGGTAACAGCAAGACAATCTTCCTTTTTTCTGACTATACATTCTCTGGAATCAGGCACATGCCCCTTTCGCTAGGTAGTGTACACTTAAGTACATCTGATCTTCCCTCTGTGGGATGCACTGACCACAGAGATCCTTTAGGACTCTAAATGATTTGCGAATGCTTCTATGTTTGGGGATGTGAATGTAGTGAAGTGTAAGCAGAATTTCTGACTAGCTCAGAAAATGAAATGGGAAGAGGGGAGTTCTTGGGCTCCAAAGAACCTTTCCTCAGTCAAGTGTAGATTTGACTTGACTAAACAAATGCATGCTGGTAGCTGTCTGCTGCATTGGTACTAGACAAAGACATGAAGGAGCACTGAGGAAAAAACCTGGGGAGAAGTTAGACTTGTCATTGCTGCTTCCTATTGATCACAGAATCACAGAATATTAGGGGTTGGAAGGGACCTCTGAAGATCATCGAGTCCAACCCTCCTGCCAAAGCAGGACCAAAAAACCAAACCAAACTAGGGCAGATCACTCAGAAAGGCATCCAGACAGGTCTTGAAAGTCTCCAGAGAAGGAGACTCCACAACCTCTCTGGGCAGCCTGTTCCAGTGCTCTGTAACCCTCACAGCAAAGAAGTTCTTCCTCATGTTGACATGGAACTTCCTGTGCGTGAGTTTGAGTCTATTGCCCCTTGTCCTATCACAGGGCACAAGTGAAAAGAAGTTGTCCCTGCCTTCTTGATGCCCAGCCCTCAGTCTTCTCCTTCCTAGACTGAAAAGCCCCAGGTCTCTCAGCCTTTCCTCATAAGGCAGGTGTTCCAGTCCCTTAATCATCCTCGTAGCCCTCCACTGGACACTCCAGTATATCCCTGTCCCTTTTGAACTGGGGAGCCCAGAACTGGACACAGTGCTCCAAGTGAGGTCTCACCAAGGCCAAGTAGAGGGGGAGGAGAACCTCCCTCAATCTGCTGATAGCAGAGTGCTTGTTATGGGTCTTTTTTTCCCTTAGGGGAATGACTTAATTGACCCTTCAGATGTTAGATCAAGACTCTTTTGTCCAAATACTGCTTGTTTCAAAAGTCTGGACTGATTCCTTCCAAAGGGAAGTCTTAGGAGGAGGAGCAACAGAATTAAAAAAAGAGCAGTGTTATCCCCATTTAGAGCAAGGAGAAACAGTAGATGTAGATAGGTGCTATTTCCTAACTGCTGCTCTCCTTCTACTTACTTGAGGTACAATGTCAGCTGCAGCCATCAGTTCCGGCTGCAGAGAAAGAAGATGAAGGAATTCCAGGAAGCCAACTACGCTCGTGTGCGCCGGCGGGGACCGCGGCGCAGCAGCTCTGAAATCACTCGAACGAAGATCCAGGGCAAGCGCCACAGGGTAAGGACATAGTCCTGTCTGCCTCTGGCCAGGCAGATACCAGTGTGAAAGTTGTCACTGCTGGGTGTACCACTTTCTCACAGTGAATGTAGTTGTACAGGATATGTTGAGTGCACATTGATGCAGATGTTACACAAAGGCACAGTGAGCTGTTCGACTTACTCATCAACTGCAAAAAGTGGATTCACATTTGTACTTGTTCTGTTGACTCTGTGTTCAATCCCACCTCTTGGAGGTCTTGGTGAGTCAGATCAGCTGACAGCCTTGGTAGAAAGCCATCCATTTTCCCTGTTTGATTAGCATTCTTCCACATGAATTATTTGAATCAGATTATAGAAGAATTGAATGAATTTCACAGCTGATGTGAGAATGATGTGAGACTGGCAGAGGATTGGGAGAAGAAAAAGGAAGGGAGGAAAGAGTAGTTTCCCCTTTCTGGCATTAGGGAGCTCTTGTGTCAGTTGCCCCTGGACCAACAGCCTGAGAGCTGTCCCAGACTGTCAGGACAACTTCTGTTGTTTCCATTGTCTTGTTTTGCACTTAGTAATTATGAATTTTTTACAAAACACCTTTTTTCCCTCTTTTCTATGGGTTTGTAGGGCCAAGAAGACTCAAGTCGAGGCTCTGATAACTCCAGCTATGATGAAGCTTTGTCTCCTACATCTCCAGGACCCCTGCCAGTAAGGGCCAGTCATGGAGAGAGGGACCTGGCAAACTCTAGTATGGCCCCACCTACCCCAGATCTACATGGCATCAACCCAGTCTTCCTCTCCAGCAATCCCAGTCGTTGGAGTGTGGAGGAAGTGTATGAGTTCATTGCATCTTTGCAAGGTGAAGTAAAGATCTTGTGATCCAATAGTATGAGGATATTTGTTGGCTTTCTTTCTAAAAGAAAGCAGTGTCAGTGGTGCCTGGTGCTTTTATTGTACTTCTGTAAATGTTTCTGGATTGGAGTATGTCATACAGATGGATGAGTGGTACTTCTCAAGTATCCTTTGTCCGCAGGCAGACTGTGGAGTAGAGTAGGGAGGGGAGTTGGTGAGATTCCTGCCTTGCTTTCTGTACCTACCAGAGGTCCAAAGAGTGGGAATGAGAGGAGTACCCAGGGCACATCTGTTTCTCAGTGCTTTTTCTTTTTGGTTTCACAGGGTGCCAGGAGATTGCTGAGGAGTTTCGGTCACAGGAAATTGATGGCCAGGCCCTGTTGCTTCTGAAGGAGGAACACCTTATGAGTGCCATGAACATCAAGCTGGGACCAGCTCTCAAAATCTGTGCCAAGATCAATGTCCTCAAGGAGACTTAACAGCTCTGAAGCCAAAAATCTCACTTTTACTCTGACCGCAGGGCAGCTGCCAGTTCTGGAGCATCCTGCTGGAGTGGGGAAGAATGGGGCAGTCCCCTTTGGTTTTGTTTTCAAGAAGAGTGAGAAGGAAGTGAACTGATTGAAATTGCCATGCACAAGCCCTTGTCTTGGTATCTTAATGGTGCTACATGGGGGAGGAACACTCCCACCTGGGACCTTGAAACATCTTTCCTTCTCCCTCATTTTAAATACGCCTCTCCCATATACCACAAAGAGACAGGAAGAGGACCTCTTTCTGTCTTAGCAGATATCTGAAAGGGAGCTGCCCTTGCCCCTTTTTGCTTCAGCAGGTCTGCTAGATCTTAGCTTTGAATCTTGCTATGCCAGAACTTCAGGCGTAGTGAGAGCTGGCCCCATGCAGACAGTAGGAGCAGCTGTGCTGATGGCAATTAGGGAGGGGAACTATTAAATTCCAAGTAACAGAGGTGGACAAACAAGAATTTGAGCAAAAGAGGTTGCTGCTGTTCCACTCTTTTAAGAAAAATACCTAGGCTGTTTACAAACTGGGTTTAATAGCCATTCCAGCATGCTTACCAAACTTGAAGGCCCATGGCAATAGGAGCTGTCTTACCTTTACTGTAGAGGTACTGTGAAGACAAGTGTTGTGGCAGCTAATCAGTCTAGATGCTCCTCTGTGCACCAGTCAGAGGAGTATTTCTCCTGAGTACTTATGACAAGGTGATGGAAAAATCCAAGGGGAGGGGGAACATCTTACATTAGGGAACTGCAGCACTAGGTTTGTCTCCTCATTATGCTAGAGCATAATTTACAGATCCAAAGCAGTGTCCAGAAGCGCCAAGGCTCTTCATAAAGTGGGCTAGGGTTTTAATATTTTTTTAAATGTTCTTTTATCCATTTGTATTTTTGTGTCTGTCTTCATTATCCTCAGGAGAGCTTATGGGATAAAGTTTAAGCTAGCAGGGTTGTATCACCTGCCTCAAGCTATTTTTGTTTGTTTGTTGCTGCTGTAAAACAAATATTTCTCTTCCTCAGTTAAAAAAAACAAAACCAAACAAAACATGCCCTCCAACAATTGAATATTAATGCTTTAATGCCCCTTATCCTTTTTAAGGGGTAGAATTACATTATAGGCTGAGTCCTTCCCTTTTGGCCTCTACAGGTTTTGGTTGTTATTTTAAGGACCAAATGTGGTACTCGGAAATTTTGTAATCAGATTGCCAAAGGTGAAAAGATGGGCAGAGTTCTTCCAGAAGCACCTCTGCTTCAAAAAAAATGAAGAAATTACACAAAGTGTGAACAGAAGGGTGCCCCTAGAGTCAAATACCTGAAAGCAAGATGATTTTATAAACCATGTGTCTCAGCTTTTCTGTTTTCAGAAGTTTCACGTGAATATTTAAGTGAAATTAAGACTGTTCTGTGTGGAAAGCACCTACTGTTGCTGGAAAGCTGTAGTGGCATGGGAGGAGGCCTAATAGCATAGGTAGGAAAACATTAGCTATCTTTGGAATGGGCTCTTTATTGCCCCATGTTAGAAAGAAAGAGGGAGAGTGCTTAAACATGGATAAAAATACGGTAACAGCTTCCTAGTCCTAACCGTATTGTTGAATCTCACTTGAATGACATCCTTGTTGCCTTGAGAGAAGACTTCTGAGGCTTCTTGAATGAAAATAAGCTTCCCAAAGGAAGCTGCCCATGCTGGCACCAATTACATTATTTGATCTGAGGAAATTAGGGGGTAGGGACAGGGAGGTTAGAGTCTAACAAACAGCAATCAACAAAGGAAGGCTACCCTTAAACCATTTTATTCATCGCAGGCTGGGTATGATAGAACTGTTTACTTTGACCCTTGGCAGCGTAGGCAGGCAAAGCAGCTAGCCTGTCCACATTACTAGCTACTTCTGAGAAACAGATTTTATTTCAGTTAAAGGGGAAGGCTTCATTTCATGTTCAATGTTCTTAATAAAAAAAAGCTTATTCAGGCTTTGCAGGTCTGGCTGCTTTTTACTCTCCCTCTCCCACTTGAGCCTTAAGCTAGTGTTTGAGATGTGTAACTTTCATCAAAGTTACTACTGATGTTTATTGTTGCAGAAAAATACAGAGCATCCTGAGCTATTTAAGTTTCAGTTTTGAAAGATGTGTATAGCCCTCCCTCTTAAGCCCAAGGGGAACTACAGTGATAGAAGATGGCAGCAAAAAAACCCTGTACTAACAATAGGACTAGTTCAGGCACAAGGCACACACTAAGTACCCTTCACCTTTGGGTAAGTAAGAAAGCTCCTATTTAGCGGAACACTTCACCAGTTTTTTTGGTAATTTTATTTTTGAAAGTTGTGTTTTGTACAAAAAAAAATTACCTTAAACATCACCATGAAAAACAGTAACAACAGACTTAGTGGCTTCCTATTTTTCCCATGTTATGAGAAAGATTGAGACTGTAACAAAAGTCAAAGAAAGCAGGAATTGTTTGCCCACTCCAGATGCAGCAAGAAAGCAGGGCTACCCATTCTCCCTCAGTGTCACTGTTCAGACTGTTTTGGCAGTATTAAAAATACACAAGTCTTGCCTGGACTGTGCTGTTAAAATAGTGGCTTGCTTATCCACAGTCCATGTCCTCAAGGCTGAGGACAGGTCTTAGCCAGTCTACAGTAGGGCAAAATGGGGTGGCTTAGAGTCTAGCCCCTCACATAAAAACAATTAGGAATCAAGTGCCAAGTTTCTGAAAGTTCCCAGTAAGTTTTACAACTCGGCTGTACCTGCTTTTCTCCAGGATCCCAGGAGAATGTCTCTCACTCCCAGACAATGTGAGACAATGTATGCGAGTACCATCTGCACAGGGCAAGTGTCTTCAGACTGGTCTGCACCACGCTAAGGGGAAAGTGATTTATGAAAGCTGACCTGGTAAGCACAAGAGTCCCTTATGCAGTTTTTTTAATGTGTTAACATTAAGTAGTCCTTGGCTACTGTGGTTCCTTTTTCATAAAAATAAAATGTGGTAGCTTTATGGGAAGGTCCTCTGCCAAACAAGGAACATGAAATCACAGTGCTGACAGTGACAGAGCCATGTGGGCAGTCACCTTGGGAAACTTGCAATAGAACTTGTGGCAGCTACCTGTCTCAATTTGCCTTGATACTGGTTTTGGTTTCAGCAAATATTCCCTTTACTTAGCAGCACATAATTTCATTTTGCTTCTCAGTGAGTGAGAAGACTTGAGGAGTATTTTGACTGAACTGGAAAGTCACAAGGCTGTATTTAGCTCCTGTAGTTTTCTAGCATTGCCCCTCTCCAGTCTGAGAGGATGGCATGCATTCCTTTACATCTGTTGAAAGAAACTGGTGCATACTCTTCAACATATTGCCGTTAGGAAAAAAAGCAACACTGCAGGGGTGGGGTGCTAATGCCTATTCTACCCCACAGAGTCAGGCATAGAACACTACGCAGGCTGCGCTGGCAGAAACAGTGCAGAAGCTAGGAAAGCTGAAATTGCATTAAAAGAAAAATAATTCCAGTGTCTTACGGATCCTGTAAAACCTATGGGGGGGGCGTGGGGAAAGACACAAAATATCCCTTCTATATTATCAGCTGTTTTAACCCACAGCCTTCCTTCCCCTTTCTGTACCCACCCATGGCCATTTTTTTCCTTTCAGTGATTCATCTCCCATTTCTGCTCAGAGGTCAATGCTCATACTGCTTTCTCGCTGTCTTCTACTCAGCTCTTATCACTTTTCCCCTCCCTAGTTTTGCTGCAAAAACTAGGTTAGGTTTTTTTAAAAACATAAACCAGCATTATGTTCAGAAGACATGCCCTCAGTGACCAGTGCTGTTGGCACCCAGAGGCATCAATGGGACTTGACACACCAGAGACGGCAAAAGCTAATAGTGTAAAGAAAATCAGAAGTGAGAGAAGGAGAACTGGCTGGGAGGCACCCAGCTAAACAAGCACTGGGGAGGCAGGGAGAAAAGAAATTGATGTTGAAAGCCTATCACATTGATAGCAAATGGTCATCCCGTTCTTCCGACTCCTCACCCAGCTGATCATCACCCACACCACGGTACACAGACGGCGCATTCCGAGGCTTAGATCGGCAGACAAAGTCACAGCCATCCTACAAGCACAAGGATATTGTACTGGAATCACTGTAAGCAATTGACTCAGCATCCAAAACAAAGCAGCTTCTGAGATTTCTCTTTTGCTAAGGGATTATGCCTATCCTTGTGGTGTCTGGAACAGCTCCCCAGAACTCAACGAGGAGCACACATACAAGCATCCTACTCAGTCTTGAAAGCTCTGGTCTTGCTGATTAAGAGTATGCAGCAACATCAGGCTGAGACCTGATGGATGACAAATGGCACTGCCTACAGTGACCAACGAAGGGTTTTCAGGGAGTCAGACATGAACATTCCACAGTCCTCAGCTTAACATTCCTACCTGGAAAGCATTAGCCACTAGTGAGCATCTGTTCTAGTCTGTTACACAGCAATCACAGGATATTGTGATGGAATCAGTCTCGGCAAGGAATTAAAAAATAGAGTACTCAAAAAAACCCAAAAACACCCTGATTAGCCTCATCTTCTGCCTCAAAGTAACTACCCTGATTGTAGGACTAACCAAGAGACAAAGTCCACAAATACAAGGCAGATGCCATTTTCTCCCGTCTTAACATATGGGCCAGGCTGGGATTTTCACTCACCGCCACCAAATTGCCCAGATCTTGCCAGAAGGCAAAGTGAGGAAACTGCTCCATGCCCTTCGCTCCCACTACAAGGCGCTGGTAGAGGAACCCACCAATGATGTAGACTGCAATCACTGAAGCAAACCTGGAGGGCAGAATTAAAAATCAGAGCTGAGAAAATGGTATAAACAACCTCTTCCAAGCCAGCTACCTGTCTCAGATAGGAACTGGAGCCAGTAGCTGACCACCACGCCAGAACAGAGCTATAAAGAGAGAACAGACCAGGAAAGGTCCCCAGAACACTGATCTGCTAGTATAAAGCTTTCAGCAGCATTTCAGAAAGTAGTGCCTCTAAGCACTAATTAAGAAAATTAGTCCTACGACTCTTGGTCTGAATTCCCACCTCTGGCAAAGAGCTGTTGTACCGTTTTAGAAAGTCGAATCTACCAGGATTCAGTGCATTTGACCATAAACAACGA